CCGTCGGAGCGGCGGCAGCAGCTGCCGCTCCGACGGGACCCCGCCTCGCAGCAGCTGGACCTCCACCTCAGCTGGCAGCGGCGGAGCTCCGACATGTCCTGCCCCCGTCGTGTGCTCGCCCCGTGCGCGGGAGAGCCCGGCCCTCAAGCCGGGCGGACCTCCCAAGGAGCTCAGCCCGCGAGCTTACCACGAGCTCGTCACCGTCGAGGGTGACGTGGGCGGCGGCGAGGACCGGGCCGTCGTGGCAGCGCGCCGGCACGGCGGGGCGGAGTGCCAGGAGGCCGGTGGCGAGGCAGTCGAGGTGTGCGACGGAGAGGAGGAGGTCGCCTTCGCTGGGAGCATCTGGGACGCCTCGGTGTTCATCGGGTGCCCACAGGTGGGCGCATGCGCATCTGCGTTCACGGCGCTCATGCTCCTGGTCAACATCGGGATGCAGGCGCTGTTCTGCTTGATTGTCAACGACAACCTGACTCAGTCTGCTCTGCATTCAGAAACGGTTCAGGATTTCAAGGACTGGCGGACGACAATAGCGCACAACGTGAAGTTTGTAGATTCCCTCACTCACCGATCTCTGGCAAGGAAGGTGTGCAGCTTCAGGGATGCCCCACTATCTTCTGGACCAATCGCTGGGCTTGCAGCGATTAGCCAGTACAGTCCTCTGGAAGAGGAGAAGCAGTATCACGACACCCCCCCGCTCGGATATTGGTTCCCGCTCGCTTATCACAAAAATGTAATGAGCGTCGGCGAGTTGATGTGTGGCGTCTCGGTTGTCCTCTGGTGGTGTGCAGTCCTGAAAGAGATATACTCCATTGTCGGCCTGTGCCAGGCGCTTTTCTGTCTCCCGTCCCGTCCCACAAAGATATGCAGCACGTCGGGCGGATACGCACTGGTGGCGGTGTCACTCCCGCGCAGAGCCGTGTTCTGCGCCGTGATTGTCGTGCGGTCCATGGTGTGCTATTCCCTGGCCGTGTGCGGCACGCTCTACCTAGCGGCCACGCTCTCGCTCAGCGACCTGCTGCTGAACGCCCTGGCACTGGAGGTCGTTCTCTCCCTGGACGAGCTCACGTTCGATGCCTTGGCTCCCCGCTCCGTCCGGCTGCTGATCTCGTCCATGGCCCCCCTTGCGAAGCCCCGCAGCCGCACGTGGCGCGGGTTGGACGGCAGGCCTGTCCTCGCGCTCGCTGTCATGGGCGTCTCGATGTCCTGCCTTTTTTGGTTCATCCTGCGCGATCAGTCTACCATGCTCGAGGCTGCACGGCACGAGCTCTGCGGCGGGAATTTGGACTTCGTCGCCGGCGTCACCAGCACCGGTTTGGTGGCCGCCTTCAGTCCCGGGGCCAACTACCACGAGGCGGTATCGGACACGGAGTTCCTGAGCGCCCAGTACGAGTACCGCGCGTTCCGGAGTCTGATTGAAAATGACAACGATACGATGACGACCGTGTCCGAACGTTTCAAGCATAGCCGGCAGACGGCGGACGGCTTCAAAGGCAGCCGGTTCACGGTGGAGGGCAGGGTTACGCAGGACGTGGAGGATTCTACCATCGAGCTGAACGTGCTATGCATTGACCTGGACTACCCGGGCTCCGAGATCTGGGCGACCCTCGCGGACGTACTCGATTCCATCGAGTTCGCGAGAATTCAGGGAAGCGAGAACGATTTCGGGGACGATCCCAGGGAGCGGGAGGGGCCCTTCAGTTCTTGCGCGGACGTGCAGCCCGTGTGCGGCGAGGAGAGCACCCTCGGCACCCGTGCCAGGCAGTTCTGCCCCGAGACCTGCGGCTGCGACCACCCTGCCAGCGCCATCCTCCTCTTCACCCCGGAGCACGGCTGCCCCCGCTCCTGCACCGGCGGGGAGCGGTGGATGCAGAAGCTTCGCGAGCTCACCTGTTCGGACTGGACCCCGGAGCAGCCGCGGGTCTACAATGGGACGGGTCGGTACCAGGGGGCCGACATGCTGCAAACCTACGCGTCGGGTATGCAACTAACAGGCTTCAGGAGGCAACAAAAAAGCACACAGACACAATTAATCGTCGATTCCCCAGAAAATATGGGAAAATCTGGGAAGTGGGAGGGAAGACAAAAGACCCGAAAATACTTGGAAATTTGGAGGATCCTGTCATTTGTGTCTATTTATTTGTGTGTCCCAGGGCCCCTTCAAGGCTGGCCGCCAGAGCTCGTGGCAGCTGTGGCAGAGAAGATGTTCAACACCATGCACGGCATCGGTTGCGCGGGAGCTGTCGCGGCCATGGTAGCCTACGACCCGTTGGATCTCGATCCGTGGCAGTACGGGAACATGTGCGAGGAGACCAACGTGTACGGTTTCCGGCCAATAACGGCCATCTGCCCAGTTGCTTGCGGTTGCCGAGAGACGCACGCGTTGCTTTGCCCGGCCTCTTGCTAGTTTCAGGACGCACTGAAAGAGGAGGTGTGGTTTCCAGGAGTTCCAGGATTTACCGACGTCCTGGACGCGCTCTAGAAGCGAGAGTTGCCAGACAGGGTATCGTTGAGTTTATCCCCATCCCCACCGTGCCATGGTATCCCGATCCCCATCATTCCAACACCCCATTTGCGGATATGCCCCTCGAAGTTTAAAGGGATCAGCCTGTATCTGCATCCAGGGGGGTAAATCGGCCAGTGGTGCCCAGGCCACGCCAGTGGGGTAGGGCTCAGCTAAACAATGCTCAGATTAGGTCGGAGGATCGCGCCGCATCGCCGATGCTTCGGCGAGGCGTCTCGATGTGGAGCCCGATTTTATCCGCGCCGACGTCGCCGATGCACCGCCGATGCATCGGCGTTTCATCGGCGATGTGGCGCGATTCGTCGACGCCATGTACTCGTAAGTCTGGCCTTTCCCTCTACAGGAGGAGTTTAAACGAATAGTCAAAAAGTAGTCTGGGGACGATGTTTTGAGCATTTTTTGACAATGTTGGGGGTATTGCTTGATTTTTTTTAGAAAAAATATTTTTCGTCCAAAAAATCCCCCTGTAGGAGGACAGGCCCGACGTAAATCTACTCCGACCTCCGACTCCAGAAGTCAGAGGCGGAAACTCGATGGATACTGCTACCCTTGCCTCGTTCTCGCTCTTGGGAGCCCTCCGGGGGGGGGGGGGGGGCCTCGTCGCCGCGGCCGGCTGCATTCGCCTCGAGAGGTTTGGCCAGAGCGCACCCCCTGAAGAGGCCCAGTGAGTCGCGGTGTCGGCACTCTCGGATTCGACCTCTCGGCGGGTGAAATTCGGACTTTGCCCCAGGCCGAAGTCCGGCTCGATCCCGCTCAATCCGGCTTAGTCCCGCTCAATCCCGCTTCATCCGGCCTACTCCGAGGCGTAACAGCCCCCCGATGGGGCTCAATCCTCTGCAACCCTTCCGGCGAAAGCCTCCCGGTATAGGTGCCTCCTAAGGCACCATCCAGCTGCTGTCCTTGGGACTGGCGCGTTGCATGTTTTGTCGCACCAGGCGTTTTCGCTTGGTTTCGGGCCCTGGGGCCATCACGGGATGGTGCGGCTTGAAAGGTGTCGCGGAAAGATGGGGTCCAGGTTTCCGGGCGTGAGTTCTCGCGATGTTGCAATTTCTTGTGATGTCGGATCTCAGGGTTCGTTGAGACGTGTCTCCGGCCCAGGGTGCCCAAAGCTTTTCTCCATCTTCTTTGGACAACCGAATTGGGTACGAAAAAATTGGGCTTATGCCCGACAGCAGATGTTGTCCAGAATCGACAGCGGCCGCTGTCGGGCAGGCGGCTTTCTGTCGTCAGCGAACCACGTCCGCGGCGGCGCGGACAGGGAGTCCTGCTCGACATGGACAGGAACTGCTGTTGGGCATCGTACCGATTCTCTTCGCCCCCCTTTTCGACCGTCCCGAGCTTTGAGCCCTGGGGTCAAGTCGGGCCTGTCCCTCTACAGGGGGAGTATGAAACAACTTGTCAAAAAATCGTCTGGGGACTACTTTTTGAGTATTTTTGGGCATCTCTTGAATATTGTTTCAGCATGTTTTACAATCAAAAACCAGAATGAGGACGCGCGACTTTGCCCAGGGTACCCTTGCATCCTTGCTCTTCCTTGCTCTTGCGTCCTTGAGGTTTTCGTCGCCCGCCGCCCAAAAACTCCCGACTTCGGCTTCCAAGGTTCTTGCGTCCCTACCGCGCGTCCTTATTTCTGTTTTTGACGGTAACGCTGGTGGCCTCGCGGGCGGGCCCGGGGACCGGGCTGCGTCGCTTATATGACCGGAGCTGCCCGGGGGAGCGCGCTCGGAGCGTTCTCGGGAGCGTTCCTCGTGGGACGGCCGCGGCGCCCGATTCGGGGAGCCTCGAGACGGGGGGTCAGTGCAGACGGGGGTCAGCCAGGGAGCCGGATCCTGCAGGATCCTGCGAAGACCCCCTCTGGCTGACCCGGGTCAGCGAGCCGCTCGTGGCCGCGAGGCGGCCGCGCCTATTGGCTGACCCGGGTTTGCGAAGACCTGCGTTGCAGTTTTTTTTCTCGCACTGCAGTTTTTGGTTTCCTGCTGACCCGGGTCTGGATTGACCCAGGTCAGAAGATCCCCGACCAATACACCACTAGGATTGTGGAGGACGATCTTCAGCAGGGAAAAGAGCACACAGACACAAATCATCGTCGATTCTCTAGGAACTATGGGAAAATATGGGGAGTGGGGGGGGAGACAAAAAAGCCAGAATGTACAGGAACAAGTATGGCGATCCTGTTATTTGTGTCTATTCACGTGTGTCCCAGGGCCCCTTCAGATGAATGGAGAGGAAGCATGTTGCACACTTTCCAGATGTCTAGGGCATGTGTTAAGCATGGTTTAAACATGTAGGAACAAATGTCTAGAACTTGTTTAAAGCATGTTTCCGACAGTGTAAACTCGCTTTAAATTCAATGATAGGACTGTTAGGGTGTCCATTGTCGCGGCATCCACAACACTAGGACCGCTGGATTGAAGTCGGGCCTGTCCCTCTACAGGAGGAATATTCAAAAATAGTTTTAAAAAAGATTGGGACGTTTTTGTTGTTACTGGTTCTTACTGCTCCGGTGTATGTTCATGACTATGTTCAATGTTTCGCCCAGCTTATGGGGGTGCGTGCACATGAATGATGTAAAATAGCGGGCCCTGTCGTGGACCCCAACCCTCTCGGTGCGTGGGCGCGTGGATAATCGCGCTTCGCCCCGCGGGGGTCCTTGCTCCGTCGTGCTTGCACTGTTTTGGGAAATTGCACTGCGGTGCCGAACAGCTTCTCTGTAGCTGCTCTGTTTTGGCTGAGTGGTTTCTCTTCGACCTGCGGCCTCGAGCTGCATGCGGCCCGTGTCCCTCCCGCAGATCCTCAGTGGCCCGATAGCCGCGGGTCTGCTCGCGCTGGGCACGCGGAGGCAGCCCTGCCCCGTTCCCCCGGAGCCGCCGATCTGCCCGGAGACGTGCGCGGAGGCACCGCCCTGCGTGTGCCCAGCGGCGCCGGCGTGCGTGTGCCCGGAGCCTGTGGCCTGCCCGCCGACGGAGCTCAGCAGGGAAGAGGTGCTGATCATCGGCGCGGCCACCTGGGCAGTGCAGACGGGCGTCGGCTGGGTGACGAGCGTGGGGCGCAGGCTCCTCGGACGCGGCAGAGGCCATGGCGCTCGTTGGGCTCGGCGCGGAGGCGGAGTTCTTGAGGCGCCTCCTGCCAGGTAGGCACTACCTGGCCTGGTACGAGGGGGACGATGTGTACCACGAGCGGGTGGCTTTGTGGCCGCAGACGCACGCCAGATGGGTCATCCTGACCCCAGACTTTGACATGTATTCGGAGATGCTGGACGGCAGCGAGGGCGTCGACGGCGTGGTGCGGATCGTCGGCCTGCGCCCAGACGGGCGTCTTCCCCGGCTCGACAAGCCCGCCTACAGGTTCAAGCAGGCGCTCGACCTGGACGCCCTGAAAGGGTACATCCGCGAGGGCCGACGCCTGGCCCTGCAGGACGGAGCTGCGGCGGGTGACCCGCCGATCGAGGTCGCGGACGTGGTGATGCCCGATCGTGAGGCGGTGCCGCTCGACACCCTGTTCGGCGGCCGCTTCCTGCCTCGCCGCCTCCCCTTGCGCCGCGGCGCCGCGGCGGCAGCGGCCGGGGCCGACAACGGGCCCCCTGGCGACGCGGCTGCCGGCTCCGACGCGGGTGCCGCCCCTGCGCTGGCGGCTGTCGGCGACGGCGCCAGCCCAGAGTATCCCCAGGCGGGGCCGCTGGACACGCCGCGCGGTCGCGCGTGGGTGCTCGTGGAGGGCGGCCGCGCTGGCAATCTGGGGGACGAGGTGGTGCTGGGGCCAGATGACTTCAGGCTCTCGGACTACGACGCGATGATCCTCCGCCGGGGGCAGGGCCGCCGGGCCGAGCTCGTCCCTCTCACGGAGGTGGACGAGTTCGTGCGAGCCCGCCGAGAGGAGCTGGCCGACCAGCTGAGGCCAGCTGGGGCAGCTCCGCTGGTTCCGCCCCTTGGACCGCCGCCTGGGCCGTCGGCCGAGGCGCCCGAGGGTGCGGACGCCGCCGGCGGCGCAGCCACGCCGCCTCCAGTGGCGGAGGACGCTCGCACGCTGTGGATCGACTACGATGAGCAGGGCGAGAGGTACAAGCCATACCGCAAGGCGGTGCAGGAGAGCTTCCACGTGCCTGACCAGCACTGGCCCCTCGAGGGCCCGTCGACGCACCTGCAGGTGATGAAGCACATCGAGAGGACGGGTGGTGACCCGCGCTTGCGGCTGCAGCTGTGGGCTCGCACAAAGCAGGTGGACGTGAATGATCGAGTGATGCACGAGCTGAACTGTCTCGTGGACATGATGTTATACGCCTCTACCTTCGACCAGCTGAATGTCCCCGCGCTGGCCAGCTTCGAGGTGCTAGCGCGAAGGTTCCAGACCATCCTAGATGCGTACAGGATCCCGGGGCGAGCCCCGAACTGGCAGATGGCTCGCTTCTACGGTGGAGTGACCGCGGCGGTGGATGCCATCGCGCCCGAGCTGCGTCAGCACGGGGCGAAGCGGGCGAAGGAGGATATCGACATGGAGACGGGGGCCCAGCGGGTTCGCGGCCTCCCTGGAGGTGGCAGCGGAGCCGGCGGCGACGACGCGCTCGAGGGTGCAGCCGGCGAGGGGCCGAGGGGCCGTGGACGAGGACGCGGTGACGGCGGTCGCGGGCGTGGCAGGGGCGCACTGCCCAAGGCCGGGAACCCCGCGGCCGCCGAGAAATCATGAGCGAGGAGATCGCCGAGGGGAATGGGCCCCCCCTCGGCGCGCAGCTGACTTGGCCCGGTGCTGGGCGACTTCCAGCCTCTCGCGGGGAACGCCATTTGTTCCCATTACCGCGGCTGGAGGAGCCACATGCAGCACGTGGAGGCGGTCGTCTTAGCCGCGGGCTGCGAGGTCGCTATCTGCACGCACGACTGGTCAACAGGGCGATCGACGCCCTGAACTGGTTGGCGAAGGCGGCCGGCTCGCCTGCAGCCGGCAATGGCGGCGGCGCGGACATCCGCAGCGAAGTGACTGCGCGCGTC